ATTACGATCTTTCTGAAATGAGTCTTCTTTAAGATTTATTGCAGAGTTGCACTGATGCCGATGGTAATAAAGCTCCGAGAGAAGTGCAGCCAGCGAGTGGCCAAACAGCTTCCAGATATGGCTTCTAAGAGGAAAGGAAACGGAACTTCAGCTAAGCAGCATAAAAGGCAGGAAGTCAATGCAGGAAAGAAAAAAAAGGAACAAGGCAAGGGACTAGGGGGAGGAGCTAGTGAAAGGAAAAAAAAAAACTGGAACAGTCTTTCAACGCCGATCAGCAAATAATACGGTAACCATCAGTGGTTTGCAGAAGGAAAGCCACAACGCTCTACGAAGCAACGACAACGGCTAGAGTTCCACCAGCGGTCAGCGGGAATGATTCAACCCCAATCGGCAGAAAACGCAAGAGGGTTCTCGGGCAAGCGACAAAGAATGAAGGAGAGCGAATAGACAGCAAAATGAACGGTATTACACGACAGTCTACGGATGACATGTCCCCAGGGTGGGAAAGACCACCTCAGGAGAATAATTGCCTTAGGAAGTCAAGAAGGACCAAGCCCGTACCGGAGGAACAACGACCATCAACTAGAAAGCAGCGGGTAGCAACTACAAGAACATTTCAATCCTGGGACGAATTTCAGCTCAAACGGAAGAGTGACTACACCAAATCAAAAAGATAAGTAAACTTTTACTTCATTTTCAAGTATTCAGACTGCTATGTCGAAAGATATTTTAAGTACTTAATCAGAATTGTCTAATTGTTTTCGTCTCAAGAGAGGATTTATTAGTTGTTGCAGCTAGTAGCTGTAAAATTTACTTTCTACGATTTTTTTTTTTTTTTTTGCTTTAAGAAATTACGCCGTTTAGTCGAGATATCGAGATATTGTTTTTATGCAATTGGCAAGATAAAATGATTTATGCCTAAGCAACTTTGTTTAGATTTTGGATGTAAGAAACTGAAACCTTGTATATATTATACACACTTTTGCAAAACAATTGAAGCACCAAGAAGGACTTTTGCGATCGTGACGAAATTAGGTAATCGAAAACATCTTGATCGAACATGCAAATGAACAAGAATTGCAATCATAACGCGCATTTCTAGTGCGCAATTCGCAAAGTATAAGAACAGTAACAGAGGCGGAAACCTTATCTTTTTTTTTGTTGCTGCCATTTCAATTCTGTAAAGAAGACACTAAACCTGCCATTACGACAATATCGAAGACCTTATAGACAACTAAACGTGGTCGCATTGTAGGGTTGCGTGAAGACTGAGACGTGGTCGCATTGTAGGGTAGCGTAAAGTTGGGTGGTCATATCGAGCAATAGGCCGTCACCAGCAGCGTGCAGACACTGCTATGCAAAGATGTTGGCAGCAATGGTTACTACAAGGAATTGCAGAAAGGAAGGGCTTGGAAGGCCAAGGAGCACAATACGAGGCAAGACAGGATGACTGTTCACAAAGTGGTACCATCCACCAGCTCACAGCGCTTGTCTCTGAGTCGGGTTAAGCTCACAGAGGCCTTTAAGACGTTTGCCTTTGACCCCACAACATTGGCGAAATCGTCTGGAGTGGTGCCGCAGCCGATCATCATGGCCGCCATCAGCCTGGCATCGTATAGTGTTCAGCGATTAATCATGCTTCACTCTTGAAGCAGATGACCACCGTGTTCGTGTCTGGAGAGGACGGGGACCAGCGGTCCCAGTCAGCCTTTGTTTTACAAAGGCATGCAGCCACAACCCCTGGTGTGATGGTGTGGGTCGCTATTTGTTATGACAGCAGGTCATCTTTAGTCATCTTCCGTATATCTTTAACAGCTCAACGATATATTGATACCATCCTGCGGCCGGTTGCATTACCCTTCATGGCACATCATTCTGGTGCCATTGTCCAACAAGATAATGCCAGGTCACATACCGCTCGCATATTTCTGGAATGTCTCCGTGCGGCTGATACTCTTCCTTGGCCAGCAAGGTCACCAGACCTTTCACCAATCGAGCATGTCTGGGGCATGTTAGACCGCTAGATTCGGGCGCCACAAATATCGCAGATCTGGAGCGACAACTGATGAATGACTGGCAGATGTGTCGCAGGATAACATTAGGAACCTCTACTACTCCTTGCCTCGAAGAACTGAAGCACGCATTGCCGCCAGGGGCAGTTCGACCAACTACTAATTTGAACACTCAATAGATGATTATGAGCCGTGAACAGGTAGGACCTTGATTGTTTAACCATTTTATTATCTGTGCATGAGCCATACACATATTCAATTTCATCAAAAACAACCCCTTCCTTCATGGCGCTTTGATTTTTTTGCAAAAGAGTGTAGTATGGTTTTCAACTGTGTTTAATGTAAAGGTGTCAACCGTGTTACAACTTTGAAAAATTAGTTGTAAAAATATTCAGGAAGTGAAATTTAAAATTTAGCGAAATATGAAAGCTAGCGGTAGAAAAATTTAAAATCTAGCTTAGGTATTTTAAATGCTAGTTAGGCTCTCCGGCTGGACACAAAGTTAATGCATATTGAATAAGTACACTAGGATGAGTTCGAAAACAGGGTGTCCGTTGAAGTATAGTGTGTCTGAGGCTTATTAACATGTAGGTTGCCGCTCAGGTGGTAAATTTGTGTTGTAACACATCACTTTCAAACTTTCACGTACGTGGAAAATTCAGTAGATGCATATGCTGGAGAGCTAGGTTTGGAAAAGTTAAATTTGTGCAAATGAAAATGCATGTTTTATCAATATCTTCAAATAATATTAGTTTTCTTCCAGTGGATCTGGAAGGACATGAGCCTCAACTATTGTAGCTAGTTAAGATGAAACTATGTTCCTTTAATTTCTATTGTTAAATTTCAAAACTTGTTAGAATTTAAATTTTTTGAACAGGTCGTTTAAAGTCGTTATTCTCAAGAATTTAAATTCTGGCGGGAAATATTGTAAGGTTTTACTTTATTCCAGCCAGTTACTTTTAGTTGGACCTTCCTGTTTCTCCTGATTTCAGTTACCTGCCGGAATGTAAATTTAGCATGATATAGATGTAAATTTTAAACGTGTTTCAGAAGTGGTATTTAAGCTGCGTTTCGAGTTCAAAAAGGTAGGAGCGAGATTAGTTCCGATGTTTATGCTGCATGTTTAAAATCAACTGTCTAGTTCGGTGTTTGACATCTTTCAGTTTATTCTGAGATTTTTCGGTTCGGCTTTGCTGCGTGCAGTCGATTTAGCGTTAATTGAGCTAAGGAGCCAGTCATGATTATCTTAAATTACTATTGAATTGTTAGATTCTTATTTTCCGTTACTTAGCTACAAATGGTGGTGATTTGTGAGCACGAAGTTTGTGCATCTGCTTTAATTTAGATTTAATAAAAAGGTTGTATAAACCTTTCATCTGCAGTATTTATTCTTGAAGACATAGCGAGAATTCGCTACTTCTTCTTCAATATAGAGTTTTAAGAGTGTATTCTTCCAAAGAATACACGAAGACTCTATAAGTTCTCAACAACATCAAAATCAGGAAAATGGATTTCAAAAATGTGGCTCTCGAACCACAAACCGATACGACATCATTTTAGAAATGTAAGCAAAATATTTGCACCAAACACGAGTAGAGATCATTAGACATTTTATTTTGGATCAGAAGACGGTGAAAATGTGCAATAACCTCGTCCGGATTCGAACTCTGCACCTTCCGATTGTTAGGCGAAAATGCTTCTTAGTAACACAACGAAGGCACGCGGTAAGCAAAGAAAAATGCCTTACTCACGTACTTGATTCTTATATATATATATATATTACTTTTCCTTTGTAACACTTTCAATTTCCTTAACGACATTCTATGAACTGTTGGACTGCCAATGTTAGATGGTGACCCGTGATCCATCGACTGAGTTACTGTCATTTCCTTGTAGAGGCATGCAAGTATCTTCAAAATATTTCATATTATCCCCCCAATAGATTAGGGCATGAGTTAAATGATGTTCGCGTTCGACACTCACGTACTTGATTCTTATATTTATATATATATATATATTACTTTTCCTTGTAACACTTTCAATTTCCTAACGTCTATGATCTGTTGGACTGCCAATATTAGATGGTGACCCGTAATTCATCGACTGAGTTACTGTCATTTCCTTGTAGAGACGTGCAAGTATCTTCCAAATATTTCATATTATCCCCCCAATAGATTAGGGCATGAGTTAAATAATGTTCGCGTTCGACGAAAAATTGCGTTCTTTTGCAAAATACAAATATTAAGTTATTTATTCGTTGCAAAGTCTCTAACGGAAAATTACGAAATATTCAAGTAGGTTTATGGAAGTTGCCTTGAAACTGTATTGACTGTGTCACAGTATTAGAGAAGAATCCGAAGATGATGAACGTAGCAAACAAGCAATGAGAGAAAATGAAAAGAAAATTAGTAAGTTAAAGAAATTTTGCAAATCTGAAGCAAATACGCAAAAAACGTAGTTTGCCTTTCAACAATCTAAATAAATATAATAAATACATAAAAAAGTCTCACACAGTAAATACTTATTTGAATATGTATTTACTTGCACAAAGATTAAAGAAAAATTAATGGATCAAATTTTTCGTTTACTGGAATTTGGAACAGTTTGCGGAATTTGGAAATTACTGGAAAAGTTTGCTGTCCCAGTGATTACAAATGACTAAAAACTTAATCTATATTTAATGTGTACTTTATATGTAATCTAAATTGTCCGACTAGCTTTGTTTTTAATTTTGCTTTTTCGAGAAGAAAATATGATTGTCTTAAATGACTAATACGATTTTCATAAATAACACTCCTCCTAAAATAGTCAGTAATGTTTAAAAGATATATGAGCATAAACGACTGACATTTTAATAGTCATTAATGTTCTTAAAAATTAAAAAGCAATTTTGAAGCCTAAAATAAAGAATATTTAAAAATGAAAAGACGATGACATTTTATTAGTTTTCATTTTTATTAAAAATATCAAGAAATTAGATAAATGTACCCGTGGTAGTTTCTGCTCCAGTGCTGAGGCTGTCTCGAGGATGGAATGAACCGATCCATGGCCCACGCTGCTTCCTAGTAAGAAAAACATCAACGGCTTAAAAAAAGTAATATTTTATTCAAAAACATATTTAATTAGCACAGCACTTGCATTTTAATCTGTTTCACTTCCGATGGCTAACAATTTTACGATTTTAATTCATATGCTTTAATAAAGTAAGTAGTAAACTTCATAGTAAAAAGTAATGTAATTAGTTAGAAATGTTTGTAATTATAAATAGAATTCAATATAATTTTATTATGAGAAATGGAAATACATAATGGAATGCATTTAAGAGTAGAATAGTTTAAGGTATATTTGATGCTACATTTTTTGCAGAAAATGTTAATTAATGTATGCTTCACAGGGTTGGTTTACTGAATATACCCTAAATTTGTCTTCACGTACATGACTCTTATTTTTATGTAAACTGTTAATATTATTCATGCATTAAAGCAGGTTAATTTAAATATATTGAAAAGGAAACAGAAGCTTATTTAAAATTCTTTTAGCGATAGCATGACTTAAAATGTCAGTTAATAACAATGTGTCATAAATATTTACACCTTCATTTTTTCTCATTAATATTAATATATTTAACTTTGCTTTATGCTTAGAATAATGCTTTAGAGGTTTTGGAAGGCATCTTGGTTTAAAACATGCTTTTTTATGGGTGTGACGCTTTTTCTGATGTAACATGAAAGACATGGCGGTGGTTTCAGTTCATGCAAATTGTTTCCATTGTGAAATCATTACTATGATGCGCATCTTTTTGTAGCAAGAAAATTAGGCGGACCTGTTCTCTTTTATCATTGCGCAAACATTTATTGTATATCAAAATTCAATTTTTGACTAAGATCAACTGTTGCATAACAAACTACTTTTACATAAATTTCATTGTTTAAACAGCCTCCATTAAAACGAATATCTTTTCATTTACCATTTACCATACTGAACCATTGGCTTCGTTATCATTTACCATTTCGAAAAGTGTTTCCTTACCACTTTGTTTTTTCAAGATTCGCAAATGCTGAATAAATGATTCATCCACTCCTTAGCTCGAAACACCCTTTCAGATATTTTCACTCATAAATTATGATTATTCAAGTGTATCGAAAAATAGAAATTACACATCAGATTTCACATTCAAACGGTCTGAATGACATTGAAAACTCTTTTAACTTAAGCTGAAAAATATTATATTTTGCCGACATTTTGTGTACATTCTTGTTCTTGAAACTATTAAGGAAACTACTAAGGAAAAAGTGATAAGTTACAGAGCTAATTATTTGCATAATTCCAGAGATAACTTGTATATTACTGTCACTTAAATGAGAGTATGATTGCTAAAAATAGAAAACCAATCCATATTTAGAGTTCTTACCTTTTTCAAAAAATCATTTGTAAGTATTTTAGACATTTATCAAGTTTATGAATGCTCTGTATCGCCAATAAATTATTTACAATGAAGCAGGGAAAAGAAAAAGAAAATAAATGAGTTACGGCGGATATCGCGACGTAATCCTATAAAACATCAAATACACGTTCTAGGCAGAAACATGGCATGCTGCTAATATCAAGCCTTAATTCATGATCTAGCATTTTCCTTGAAAATTTCTGAAAATATCCCTCCACCGAAATTCTGACATATTCAACACCCTGACCCACCTGAAGCGACGCTTTACGATCGAAATAAATAGTTTATCGTGAAATTATTTAGCTTACTAGAGAAAATTAAGAAAAGTGTGAAGGTCTGGGATCAACATGCAGCAAAATATAATCTTGGTACTTTGGCTAAATAAAACGATCCAATTTCCTCTCAGGGAAACAAAAAATAATTGATTAATTGATTTTTGTTTTGCATAATGATTCCACAGAAATGCAGCATTAGGTGCATTTTATACTTCCAATGCCGAATATTTCAAGTATTTCGCAGGATGTATCATTATCTAGTCTAGATTGCCTCGCCAATATAGCTTTTAAGTCTTCAAATTAACAAGGCATATTTTTGTAAACATGACATACCATGCATTCCCATTAGATGAGGAGAGTAAAACACAAGCACCATGCAGCCCTTTTCAAATATCCATTTGGCTGAAATCTGTGGCAACTAATTAACTCCATAACTATTGATATCATCGTCACATATCTCATAAGTACAGAACCCTTGAAAAGAAAACACTTCAGTTTTCGGTAAGTGGATAAAAAATATAGGTGGTTCTACGAGAAGATAGTCTAGTAGAAACTCATTAATTTATTTACGGAACATAGGAAGAAGATAATAAGAAACAGTAATGTAATGGATAATAGTAGAAACGTGAATAGAAAGTATAATGTATTCGTAACCTATAAATGCGCAACAGTGTCCAATTGTATCACGGAAAATCAGTGAATTTATCTTATTTGGATGAATAAAAAATCATCGTTCGCATTTAAAACAGTTGCTTGAATGGTTTTATTACGGTACCTATTGTTTACGTTATGTGAAACCTTCAGTCTGTGGAAGAAAGCTCTAAGTAATAAATATCAAGTTGTAACAGCATAGTAGGAAACTTCTTTTTTTAAAGAAGACAACAAGGTAATCAGCAAATAATGTTCACAGCAACCAAGTAAATTAGCGTAAAATATGTAGTTTGGTTTATTTGGATTACGCCAAAGCACGCCGTAATCTAAATTGTTGTCTAACTAAGAGTTGTTTAACTATGAGATGGGATGCTTTTGTATTTTCTAAAGAAACTGGCTCGTGTCCTCGTTACACATGAGAAAACTACAAAAACTCCAAAGCAACCAACCCTTTTGCTTGGAATTGAAGTCACAAGGGATGCACTCTAATAATTACCAAATCAACTTAAATTTCATACATAAAAGTATGTAACAGTTGATAGGGAGAGACAAATATTGCATATCGTTTCTTCAAGAATGTTTTGCCTTCTTATACTTAAATACGAAGCATTTTAAAACTGTTTTCTCATTTATCAATTAAGTGCTTCGTGTACTTATTAAAGCCAAGATCTTGAATAAATGCTACAACCAAGTTGCTTATGTATGAGTAAGTTGTTGAAACATTAGGTTAATTGGAAAAGCCGGAGAGATGAAAAATTACCCAACACCTTCGCCAAGAATCGAACCACGGGCCTCTGCTGGAATAATATCGGCCCAGCCGGCAGAACCAGTACACCACGAAGGCACGCTAGGAAGGCAGGAGAAATACCTTATAAAGCGATTAAATGGATATGCATATTCATATTCAGGACTGTCAAATACTAACATATTATTTGTGAGCCGGTAACATGTTCATCTACTTATTCTTTAATTAAAGCTGCTTCAAACAATCTATTCATAATCACTTGAATAAACATGCCAACATCAGGATTTGAGAATTTAATTATTCATCTCTCCTGAATAGGATGTGACAGTAAGTGACTTAATTTGTTTACTTTTATACCGAATTGCTGCCTTAGACTTGCATTTCCTGAACTAATAAAATTTTTGCTTTGACGTTACACTGAAATGAAAGTGTCAAAATGTCTAGTGTTGATATTGTACTGAAATAGGATTCAAACTTCCAAGTTTGATGTTTAATTTTAAGTACGCTTCTTCTGTATATTCTCCAGTTCAGTGTTTTAACAATTGATGCTTCTCAAGATGTGTCGAGAAATTTTCGAATTTAAATTCACGTTTCTAAGCCTTGCTCCTTTTATAATGCAATATTTAGGTTGATGAATATTCTTTACTATTAAATAGTGAAGCTAAAAGCAGAAGAGTCTTAGTGTTGGACGTATATTTAATGTTTGCATTTCTTTTTTTCTTTTGCCTTATTTACTTTCTTAGTATTTAATTTTATGTTATGATTTTTACAATAATCTTGTTACTGCAACATGCTTTATTTTATTATTGAGTTTGTGTGGAAGGAAAACTCAATGTTCATGTTTTATGGTTGGGCAGAGTAGCGTTCTTAGCAGCACTGTGCTGCAGGCAACCTTTCTGTTAAAGAATTTCATGTTTTAGAATACCAATGAAGTTTTTATACAAAGCTGACGCTTATTAGTTCAAGGCAACTAGTTGGTGCATCTTTGAGTAGATTGCATGCTGGTCTGTCAACAGTAAGACTGGGTCATGATATTCTCTGTGAAACAAACTAAATGCAGGCTTCAAATTAATAGTAAAGGGAAATAGTCCCAACGGACACCTTCTCATTAAGTATTCTTCGAGATAGATCGAACCCATCCAGAACGTTTTTCAGGCATGTTCGCTTTGAAATAATTGAGTTTGTTGACAAAAATTCGTTAATGTTTCACAAAAAATGAAATAGATAAAAAAAATTCCAGATTTCAAATTTCAGCTTCAAGATGCCCATATTCGAGTAGAGGACAACTGTGGCAACAATTTGAAAAGTGAAACGCCGTTTTATAGTGGACTACATAAAATTCCAAAACGAAATTAATAGCTCTTCTTGGCAAATCGTCCCTTTGGGCTAAAAGCAATTAAGAACTCAAATCGCTATGTTATAAAATCATGATTCTATAATCACATATGCCAATCGAGGAAGTTTGGAATCAGTACAGCTTATCATATTTCATAGGTTCTGCCTATAAAGTATTATACCAAGGACCTGAAAGAAATCGTAGTTTGCTGAAGACAGATAAACTTTGAGTTCCGTTTTAGAAAAATTACTGCATTTGGTAAAGAAGTCTTATTTATGTCAAACAATTTTGGTGGGATTTGAATAAGAGAAATTACATATTTCATAAATTCAAACTAATTAAATACACTCATGTCTATAAATTAAGGATAATGCAAAATCGGGCAAAGGCAGATTTATAAGCAAAAAAATTTGACTTATTTGTAAAGCTTATTTATTAAACAAAAGGTAAAGAGCAAAAAAAGATGCTATATGTTTGATATTATTAAAAAAATTAGCGAATTTTTCTCCCTGGAGCAAATTACAAAAAAAAAAACCTATTTACAAAAAACCAATATTACATGGTTGGTATGATTGTTAATACATTGTATGCCTCCAGACGATGCAATACAG